GATCTAAATTTCATATTACTTCATGGCCTTTTCCATGAAAAGTTATTTGCTCATCTGCATTCATAGCTATATTTAAAACAAACAAACAAAACAAAATCAAATAGGTGGCTTACCAAACTGTCCTATAAAGAGCTAAAAGTCACTGAGTTAAGGAACTGCCATGGAGCAGCAAACCAGGAACTGCTCCATATGGAAGGATGAGCCAGGACTGAAGAATGACTCCTTCAGCACTCTCCCCAGCCAGGGCACTCACAACATTACTCAAGCATGGGCTGAAGATGTAGCCTGAGCTTAGAATTGGTCCCAGGTGAGTCTGGTTGGGGAACACTTGAACACTTCCAGGGATGGGGCATCCACAGCTTCTCTGGGAAACCTATGCCAGTGCCTTACCACACTCACGGGAAATAATTTCCTCCCAACATCTACCCTAAATCTACACTCTTGCAGTTTGAAACCGTTACCCTTCATCCTATAGCTACATGCCCTTGAAAAATGTCCCACTCCAGCTTTCCAGGAGAGGAAATTAGTCTTAAATGTCCCAAAACCTGCAGCCTAGAAACAACAACCCCTGGTACACCCAAAGTAGCTTGATGGCCTCGGAGCTGGGGTGTTGTAGTTAAACCTAAGCGAGGTGGGGTCCCCCAACAAGCCCTCCTTGCTACACGGTGCCTTCACTGTCACTTGTATTGGTTTCACACACCACGTCCAACACCAGACAGAAAGGCTTTCAGGACAGGAGGAAACCTGTTTAGCCATCCTCACTACAGAGTGCCTTATATCTACCTAAGTATATTTTCAAATACACATTGGTCTTAAACTCGTAGGTGTTTCAAACTTACCTGAAGTTAAATATTAACTTCTAAATCGTATTTCTGGCATCTTTGCACCAGTTCTCACTTTCTGAAAGGGAGATATGGAAGCACTTCAGACAGGGCTTTGCCCCTCTCTGTTCTGCAGGGCAGCTCCATCAGGACGACCCTCCAGCCCCGAGCCTGGGATGGCTCCTGGGGCGAGCAAAGGCTCGGGGCGAGCTGGCAGCTCCTGGGGCGAGCAAAGGCTCGGGGCGAGCTGGCAGCTCCTGCCACACACACACACACACAGACCGGGGGAAGGAGCAGGGGGCCCGGCACCCTCGGCAGGGCCCTC